TCGCCCATGTGAGAATACACCATACCGATGATGTTGTAGGAACTAGCCAAGTCGGGATGATTCGGAGGGAGAGCTATTTTGAGGATTTCAAGTGATCTTTCGTACAATGAAAGTGCTTTCGAATATTCGCCCATGTTATCATACACCATAGCGATGTTGTTGTAGGAAGTAGCCAAGTCGGGATGATTCGAAGGGAGAGCTATTTTTCGGATTTCAAGTGATCTTTCGTACGATGAAAGTGCTTTCGAGTACTCGCCCATGTGAGAATACACCATACCGATGTTGTTGTAGAATTGAGCAAAGTCGGGATGATTCGGAGGGAGAGCTATTTTGAGGATTTCAAGTGATCTTTCGAGCGATGAAAGCGCTTTTGAGTACTCGCCCATGTTATCATACACTGAAGCGATGTTGTTGTAAGAAGTAGCCAAGTCGGGATGATTCGGAGGGAGAGCTATTTTGAAGATTTCAAGTGATCTTTCGTACGATGAAAGCGCTTTCGAGTATTCGCCCATGTTATCATACACTGAAGCGATGTTGTTGTAGGAACTAGCCAAGTCGGGATGATTCGAAGGGAGAGCTGTTTTTCGGATTTCAAGTGACCTTTCGTACGATGAAAGTGCTTTCGAGTATTCGCCCATCTTATCATACACCATAGCGATGTTGTTGTAGGAAGCAGCCAAGTTGGGATGATTCGAAGGGAGAGCTATTTTTTGGATTTCAAGTGATCTTTCGTACGATGAAAGTGCTTTCGAGTACTCGCCCATGTTATCATACACCATAGCGATGTTGTTGTAGGAAGTAGCCAAGTTGGGATGATTCGGAGGAAGAGCTATTTTTCGGATTTCAAGTGATCTTTCGTACGATGAAAGTGCTTTCGAGTACTCGCCCATGTGAGAATACACCATACCGATGTTGTTGTAGAATTGAGCAAAGTCGGGATGATTCGGAGGTAGAGCTATTTTGAGGATTTCAAGTGATCTTTCGTACGATGAAAGTGCTTTCGAGTACTCGCCCATGTTATCATACACTGAAGCGATGTTGTTGTAGGAAGTGGCCAAGTCGGGATGATTCGGAGGGAGAGCTATTTTGAAGATTTCAAGTGATCTTTCATGCGATGAAAGTGCTTTCGAGTACTCGCCCATGTGAGAATACACCACAGCGATATTGTTGTAGAATTGAGCAAAGTCGGGATGATTCGGAGGGAGAGCTATTTTTCGAATTTCAAGTGATCTTTCGTACGATGAAAGTGCTTTCGAGTACTCGCCCATCTTATCATACACTGAAGCGATGTTGTTGTAAGAAGTAGCCAAGTCGGGGTGATTCGGAGGGAGAGCTATTTTGAAGATTTCAAGTGATCTTTCGTACGATGAAAGTGCTTTCGAGTATTCGCCCATGTGAGAATACACCATACCGATGATGTTGTAGGAACTAGC